TTTTTTACTTTCAGTTACACTCTTACTCGGTCAGGGAACCCACGCCTCACCAGCTCTGATTGATTCGGGGGCCAAGCAGAGTTTAATTGATAGGGGATTCGCTGAACAGCTTCAGATCCCTCTTTTTGAGTTAAACCCGTCTATCCCTGTTAGGGCATTAAACGATCAAGTCTTTTCTTACATAACTCATCGCACTGCACCAGTTACTGTGATTACTTCCGGCAACCACAGAGAATCACTGATCTTTTACACCTCACAATCCCCTGACACACCCATAATTTTAGGTTTCCCATGGCCAAGGCATTATAATCCTCACCTGGATTGGGTGGGACAGAGGGTTGTGAGTTGGAGTCCATATTGTCACGCCAACTGTCTCGTCTCTGATCCACCACCAGGGGCTGCCGAGACCTCATGCAATGAGAGCTTTACCCCTGACCTCTGCAATTCCCACCCCGAGTATCATGATTTATCAGAAGTTTTTAACAAAGATAAGGCACAGTCACTACCACCCCATCGCCCTTACGATTGTTCCATTACTTTGTTTCCCGGCTCCACATTACCTTCCAGCCATCTCTACAACCTGTCACGCCCTGAACGGGCTGCCATGGAAAAATACATCAAAGAATCACTGGCAGCTGGAGTCACCAGGCCATCAACTTCTCCCGTGGGAGCTGGCTTCTTCTTTGTGGGTAAGAAAGATGGCACACTCTGCCCATGCATCGACTTTCAGCCCCTTAATGACATCACAGTTAAAAACAAATATCCATTGCCACTCATCAGCTGCCCCTCCATGGAGCCACCATTTTTACCAAATTGAATCTCAGGAACGCTTATCACCTAGTCAGAATCAGAGAGGGGGATGACTGGAAGACTGCTTTTAACACCGACTTAGGACATTTTGAGTACTTAGTCATGCCGTTTGGCCTCACAAATGCAACCTGCTGCTTTTCAAAACCTAGTGAATGATGTACTTAGGGATTTTCTGGACCGTTTTGTCTTTGTTTACCTTGACGACATCCTGATCTTTTCCAAAGACCTCAAGGAACACAGAGTTCATGTCTGGGCCATGCTCCAACAGTTGCTGGAGAACAAATTATTTATCAAAGCTGAAAAATGCGAATTCCACTCACCATCCGTGTCATTTCTGGGTTACATTCTTGCAGGGGGGCAGGTGAAGACTGATCCGGCTAAAGTGAAGGCAGTAGCAGAGTGGCCATTTCCAGTCTCACGAAAACACCTACAAGGGTTTTTAGGCTTCACAAATTTCTACCGCTGCTTCATTAGAAATTATAGCCAAGTAGTGGGGTGACGCACCCACCATCTTGCCGGCAGGAGTCAAGATCGGTTCTGTCACCTGGGATGTGGAGGAGGACATCTGGCGTGTGCTGGAGACTGAGCCAGACCCCGGCACGGGCCCTCCAAACCGACGCTACCTCCCCACAGCGGCCCGCTCTAAGGTGATTGATTGGGTCCACAAGGGCAGATTCGCTTGCCATCCGGGTGGGGGGAGAACCAGCTCACTCATTAAGAGGTATTTCTGGTGGGAGACTATTGATAAGGCCGTCAAGGAATATGTAGCTGCCTGTCCTGTTTGCGCATGTTACAAATCGAACTCACTAACATCTCTTGGGTCTGGGTGCCGTTTCCCCCTCTGGGGGCGAGGATACCTGGACCCGGGGTATAGAGTATGTTTGGGGAGTGTGATTGTGTGTACATGTCCATTTACGTTTATTCCTACGTTGGGTGAGTGCTGAGTGTTTGTATATGTGTGCATGAGGGTGGGAATGCATGTCTGTGTCTGTG